GAATTAATCTATTTTAGCAAAAGAGGTAGAAATAAATCAATTACCATACCAAGAAGTCACAAATTGTATTCTTGGTGATCAACTATTTTATATGTTGGTAATATGGAACCAAACAAGGATAAATGAGTTATGTACACAAAAGCCTGAAATGTAATAGGGTCTCAGAATTGATAGCTCTTATTCTACATTCTACTGCTTCCTGAAATAGAAGCTTTCTTGGGCACATTACTTAAGAATTTAGAGTCCATGATTCTTTTTGTTGTTGTTTTAGTTTTTTCATGATTCTTTATTTTTTAAGTGGTCCTAATTCTAAGTCTCTGCTAACCTCATATAACTCTTGTGAGGATTAACTGATAATTCAGTAAAAAAAAAAAAAATTCTCTCACCTCATGCAATGAAGACTGAAATTTGGGAAATTGAAAAAATGAGGTCTGGGGGGAATAAAGATTATGTATCAACTGTACACATTTTACTTAGTGTAAAATTTAATCTATATTTATTTTTCAGTCTTTGATTTTAGGTCAAAGCTTTTCCTTTAGCTAAGGGTCTACTCTGGCATTCAGACTATCTTTTGTACATATAAAACACTCACAGGCATGAGGTCAGTGAAAATGTTGGAGTAGGGACATCTGAGGACTGTCCTTCCCCAGAAAAATCCTAAAAATTTATCAAAAACTGTCAGGATTAACCTATTGAAATGCAGAAAGATAGTCAAATGTTTACATCAACTAAAAGGATGCATAGGAGGAGAAAGGCTACTGAAACAGCCTAGATCTTAGCAGCATATTAACTAACCTAGATCCACCCCTTCCCTTAGGCATCAGTGGTTTTGGAGATGACAGCCTGTTCCTAGTGTGGGCACAGAGTAGATATGGTTTCCAGGGAATTGTGTTATCTGCTTTTATCTGACTGGGGTTTTCCTGAAGGACTCCTGCATAGAGTTTCCCTTTGTTTTGCCTAACTTGGAACTCTTTCAGGGCTGAACAGCTGGAATGAAAAATAACAGTTGGGGTAAACAAATGATATACCAAAAACCTGGGAGGAAAAGCTGAGTAGTGAGGTTTTGGTGGGGGGAAGAAGGACTTTGAAAAATTACCACATAAGCAGAGGAAACTACAAAGCTACATAAATGCTCAGGATAGGACGCATATTCAGAAAAGACCTGAGGAGGCCACAGGCTTTCAAATGTAGCCAACTTTTAGGCTCAGGGCAAGCTGGAAGTGTAAACTAAGACAAAGTTGTAAACAGCCAGGGAAAGGGTTGAAAGAAAGCCACAGCCCAGAGCAAATCTGAAAAGACTTGCCGAGTGATTTTTTTTCATTATTTGCTTTATTGTTTACACATAATAATAGTCAAAGTGTCCATTTTTCAACAAAAAAATTATGAAGCATGCAATGAAGCAAATATGGCCCATACACAGAAAAAAAAAAAATTGAACAAAAACTATTTTGAGAAAACACAGATATTGGACTTACTAGACAAGACTTTAAATCAACTCTCTTAAATATTCTCAAGAAGTTAAGGGACACAATACAAAATAAATAAAGGAAACAGGAAAATAATGGCTCAGCAAACAAAGAATATCAACAAAGAGAACCTGTGAAAAGGAATCAAATATAAATTATGGAGCAGAAAAATACAATAGTTGAAATTAAAAAACCCACTGGAGGGGTTTAACAGCAGATTTGAGCAGACAGATGAAAGAATCAGCAAAGTTAATAACAGGGCAAATGAAATTATCCAGTTAGAAGAGCAGAAAGCTCTTCCAAAGCATTCAAGTTAGTTTTTAATATAAGCAACACTCTCTATTTGCACTTTGATTTTATGAGCTTGCATAGAATTTAGTTAAAATATTTAATTGTATATTAATATATGTTAACAAACATATTTATAGAGACATGTAACAGGAGTAAATAGTTCGGAGAAGAAACTCAAGTAATTTGCACTAAGTAGCTCAGCTGTCAGTAGCAGAGGGATGTGAGTACATAGCAAACATGCTACTACCAAGAATATCTGGGTACCATGGGCATCTATCACTATATTACTACAGAGAGAATCAAGAGAGTGGATAATTCAGGGAGTTGGTTGAAAGCTTCAACTGTGATTTGTATAGTGAGCTTTGGTTTACAAAACATTTTCTCATCAACTCTGTGACCTTTATTTATGCAAAGACCTTGTCTACATCATTCATAACTGGGTCCACAGTGCCTAAAAATAGTATGTGGCACATAATCAGTTCTCAATAAATATCTGTGACCAAGAAAGGACTCAACAATGGAGGGGTAATATAGGGGGTTGGGGAGTGGGAGGTACAAGCTATTGGGTGTAAGATAAGCTTAAGGATATATGGTACAACACGGGGAACATAGCCAATATTTTGTAAAAACTGTAAATGGAAAGAAACATTTGAAATTGTAGAAAAGAACTTAAAAAAAGAAGACTCAACAAACATGTTTTCTTCATTTAATAAGAGAGGATAAAATGTATGTGAGGGCTTCCCTGGTGGCGCAGTGGTTGGGAGTCTGCCTGCCGATGCAGGGGACACGGGTTCGTGCCCCGGTCCGGGAAGATCCCACATGCCGCGGAGCGGCTGGGCCCGTGAGCCATGGCCACTGAGCCTGCGCGTCTGGAGCCTGTGCTCCGCAGTGGGAGAGGCTACAACAGTGAGAGGCCCGCGTACTGCAAAAAAAAAAAAAGATGTATGTGAAAGTGTTTGAAAATATATACACTCTATATAATAGGCTTCATAATAACATATTTCTTTTTAATTTTGCAGCCCATATCTTCCTGTAGTATATACTTGATTTAGAACATGAACTTTCAATCAGCAGTCATTTGAAACTGTCTTATAAAGAGTTACACAGTTCTCTAAGAAAACCACAAGACAAAATGAATGGCACTTTTCATTATTTTGTAAGTTGGATTATGGGGCCAACAATTTACAAGGCAATAATAAAATGAAAATATTTAAGTAGAGCTTATGTACTATCATATACTTGTGTGTGCCAACTTGCTTTTGAATCTTAGCTTTGCTTTACAAGCAATTCTGTTAAGCCTGAAAACTGTCAAATGTGATGGGTGTGAGTATGTATACCCTAGCTTACCAAAGACTAAGTGATATACTTATTTTTAAAGATAGTTTCCATTCTTATCCTTGCTTTCCACTACTTAAATCTTTCTTTAAAAATGCCTCTTTTTCTTGAAAATTTGCTTGTGTGGTCTGACTAAGTGTAAACTCTCTTTGGGGCAAGAAAGGGAGGAAGAACAAAAGGACTTCAGCTATTTCCAAGTAAGGCAAGCATATGCTGTGTATGACCTTTTTTTTTGTTTTCCTCTAGCACTTTATTATGACAGTTTCATAAACAATATTGAAGGAATATTACAGTGAGCACCCATATATCCACCACCTGGATTTGGCCATTACCATTTTACTTTTTCTGGCTTTATTACATATTTATCCATCTATCCATTTCTCTACCCATCCATCAGTCCTTCTTATTTTTTTGGACACATTTCAAATGCAGGCATCCTTTAACTCCCCTAAAATACATCAGCATGCGTGTAATTATTTAGAGTAGGATATTTGTTTACATTTTTTCTTTTGATTTGAAAGTTACATTCAATGAAATGTACAAAAATTTTTAAAATTAATTTATTTATTTTTGACTGCATTGGGTCTTTGTTGCTGCACGCGGGCTTTCTCTAGTTGTGGCGAGCGGGGGCTACTCTTCATTATGGTGCGTGGGCTTCTCATTGCTGTGTATGCCCTTTATTTTAATGAATTAAGAAGAGGCATTTGATGCTCCCTCAGCATTTTAAAAGTCATCCATACCTATCCTGGAGGCAGCGTGGATAATGGAAACATCAGGAGCCCTAGGACCAAAAAATATTGATTCCAGTAGAAACATTGCCACCTTTTTGGCGGCGTGATCTTAAACAAGTCCTACTACCGAGCCTGGCCTTGCTTTCCTTATTAGTCAATGTGAAAAATAATAATACCCATGAGAAAGCGGTAGTAAAACAGTCTGATAGCTTTAGCAGATAATATTAGTTACTATAAAGTTCTCAAATATAAACATGAGGAGTATGCTGAGTTCATGCACACATATATAATTCTAATTTTAATCACATTCTTCACTTCTGCAAACTTTAATAGCTTTTGGTATGATGAAATAGACACGATTTTCCAAGTGCTGATAAGTTCCCAGTGGTTTCTGCTATGAGCCATATGAGACTGCTAGCGCTTTATCAGAATCTACCCATATTTTGAGTCGAAAGAGAAAAAAAGAGAGTGAAACACTTTCGTTGAGTCCTTTCTTGGTCACAGATATTTATTGAGAACTGATTATGTGCCAGGTACTTTCTGTGGGCACTTTGGACTCAGTTATGAATGATGTGGACTAGGTCTTTGCATACACAAAGTTCACATAGTTGATGAGAAAAGGTTTTGGAAACCAAAGCTCACTATACAAATATTAACCACAACTGAAGTTCTTTCAACTCGAAATATGGGTATATTCTGAAAATAAGGAGCTAGCAATCTTATATATGGTTCATAGCAAAATCCACTGCTAAACTGATCTACTCACCAGTTCCCCAGAGGTGGGGCAAATCCCTGAGGCTTCAGCTAGCTTTCACTTTTAGTTGTAGTTTTCTGCAAAAATCCCCAGCCTACATTCAGGTCCTGGACTCACTGCCATGGTCTAAAAACCCCAAATTGCCTAGCTCTGGGATAGAAAACTTTCCATAGACTGATGACAATTATTCTTTTTTCAGTCTTGCTTTGACTACCAACTTTGTCACCATCGTCTTCCATTATGGCTGCAGCAATTCACACACAAACAAATATAAAAATGCAGTGGGTTATTCAACCATCTGTGTACAAACTGTGACTAAAAGATGTTCTCTCTCACAGGAAGACCACGAGTAAAGTCAAGTTTTATGTATGGTTGGCTCTTTAAATATATGTGAACCTTAGTTTATCAATACTTTCTCCACAGGAGGACAGCTGCCCTCCCTGCTGCCTTGCTAATTCAACTGAGCATGACCCCTTCACATCCCAAAGACACACAGACATCTACTCATTATATGAGTCATGGTCTTCTCCTGATGCCAAGAAAGAACTTCATAAGGTAACACCTTTTTAAGAAAAAAAAAAAAAGGCCGAGAAGTGGAATTTTCAGCAAATTATTTGACCTCATTTTCATAGGAATATTTAAAGCCTTCATAGAAGTTGTTTGAGTGATGATCACTTTGAAGAAAGACATCCCAGAACAATCACATTATTAAAATGGACTGTTTTTAGGATGAAATTTAGTAGGGCAGAATAAATGAAATGAACAGATTTTAGTTAAACAAATACCATACGCTAACACATATATATGGAATCTAAAAAAAAAAAAATGGTTCTGAAGATCCTAGGGGCAGGACAGGAATAAAGATGCAGACATAGAGAATGGACTTGAGGACACAGGAAGGGGGAAGTGTAAGCTGGGACGAAGTGAGAGAGTGGCATGGACATACATACACTATCAAGTGTAAAATAGATAGCTAGTGGGAAGCAGCCGCATAGCACAGGGAGATCAGCTCAATGCTTTGTGACCCCCTAGAGGGGTGGGATAGGGAGGGTGGGAGGGAGACACAAGAGGGAGGGGATATGGGGATATATGTATATGTATAGCTGATTCACTTTGTGGTACAGCAGAAACTAACGCACCATTGTTGAGCAATTATACTCCAATGAAGATGTTAAAAAAAATTTTTTAAAAAGAACATAATCCAGTATCCATAAATGAAGTACTATTCCATCCAACATCATGGAAATAGTACACGAAGGAATTTTTACATTCAGAAAACATTCAGACTTGCTATGGTAGCATTTTCCATAGGAATAGATAACAGTGAAACTCAAAAGCATGATTCTACAAAACTCTGATTTGAACACGCAATTGCTTTCCTGTGTGAGGTTTGAGATATGTTACCTCCCTACAACTGAGCATCTGTTTTTATAAACCTAAAATGGCAGACTATAAAATGTCTTGTTATTGAAAGCTCCTTTCAAAATATCATCAGGGAAATTAGCTATTTAAAAGAAACTCCATGTTCCTATAAATACCTTGTTAGAAAGTCCTCAAGCTCTTTCCTGTTTCTTGCAGGAGAAGCAGCAAAGGAACAAGACAGCTTGAGCCAGACGACTCATTACACCAAGAGCACATAAGACACACAGATCAAAGAGAATCTCAACCTCTTCCAGTCCTTTCTACAATACTCTCTTGCTTTGTGAAAGTTAACTCCTTTGGCTTTCTGAAGGATTCTTCAGTAGACGATTTATTCAAAGAAAAATGGGTATGTTTCCAAAACAAAGATACGGAGATAAGGACACTTCAAATAAGATGGAGCCCAGGGGCAACTCAAACCTTATCCCACACCTACTTGTATTCTGCACGGGAATAAAAACGTGGGCAAAGACAAGAAGTTCATCAAAGGACAACATTGACCTTGAATTTCTACCAAAGAAGATGATCAGGCTTCAAAACCTGAAGAAATTTCACAATCTTAGAGCCATAGCTATTTTTTTTTTTTTTTTTGGAAATTAAGGATTTCAACTCGAAAAGAGGAAAGAGCTTATCATTGTGGTAGAAGCTAAGTAAATGTATTTTTCACATTTAAAGTTCATGAGTGAGACTTTTGTCAAATCAACGTACGTCTCAATGAAGAATCACAGGAGAAATGTGAAGAGAAACAAGGAAAAAAATTTTTTTAAAGTATATGTTTTCTGACATAAGGGCAAACAAAATACAAATGATTGTTTCATATAAGAAGAAAAAGGAAACAATGAAAATGAAGCCTCTTTACTGTGACTGTAAAGCTGAAAAAGACAAATTTGGGGATAGTGAAGAATAAAGAAGAGTGATGGAATCCAGTGGCCAGTTAATGGTAATGGCACTTATCCTAAAGGAATGTCTGGGAAAATGTTTCCAGTGGAAGCTGGTGCATGGCTGGTCCCCTGATGAAAATGAAAGTGGGGAACCCCAGCCAGCCAAGGTAGGAGCATGAGAGGGAACATTCCGCTGGCCAGGACAGATGATAAAAGCTGAGCAGCCACAATCAATGCCAGGTCGGGGACAGTCTGGAGGGAGAGGACGCCAAGGTGGAGTCCTAGCTGGTAGGGGAAAAATACCCAAATCCCGAGTTAGAAAAGGCAAAACCAGAAAGGTCACTGAGGTACCCCTTACTCTTCAGCTTATGGATATCATGGTGGGACATTAAAATAATACTTCAGAAGTGCGTATTTTGATGATATGACCCAAACGAAATTGGGGGATTTTTAAAAGTGACTTTAAGCAGTTTCTTTATTCAAAGAACATTCACCTAGAGCCTATTCTTTGCTAAATACCAAGCTAGGTTTCAGGAATACAAAGACGAAAAGGAAGTCAGGACAAGAAAGGGTTTCAGTACTCTACTATGTTTAAAATAGATAACCAACAAGGACCTACTGTATAGCACAGGGAACTCTGCTCAATATTCTATAATAACCTAAATGGGAAAAGGATTTGGAAAAAAAAATAGATACATGTATATGTATAACTGAATCACTTTGCTGTACACCTGAAACTAACACAACATTGTAAATCGACTACAGTCCAATATAAAACAAAATTGTTTTTAATTTTTTAAAAATTAGAAAAGAAGATACAGGACCACTATTATTAGATACCACCAAGAAATCAAGATCAAACTTAAAAGTGTCCATTGGATTTGGGAATTAGAAATTGGTGGATGATTTTAGCAGGAGTACTTTTAGTGAATGGCAGGGGCAGAAAAAAGAATGTAGTGAACTGAAAGATAATTTAGTAGTAGGTTCATGAAAAAAGGAGAACATGTAAGTTTTCCATGTCCCTGGATGAAAGGAGGAAAGTAGGGTAGAAACTGAGGGGATATAGGGCTCAAATGGGTTTGGTGTTTGTTATTGCTGTATTGTTTTTCAAAAAGAAAATAGTAATTCAAATTGATAGTATTGTTTGATACATTATTTGATTTACCATAGTACTAGAGTAGTGATAATTTAGGCTGGGGGAAGACCCTAAAGATGATGCACTTTTCACATTTTACAGATGAAGAGCTGAGGACCTGAAGTATAGCCAATATTTTATAATAACTATAAATGGAGTATAATCTATAAAGATTTTGAATCACTATGTTGTACACCTGAAATCAATATGATATTGTAAATCAACTATACCTCAACTAAAAAAAAAAAAAACTTAGGACCTGGAAGTTGTGATTTTCTAGTCATTCATTTTAAAACCTATACCTGCAGACATCATCTGGGAATATGTGACATTATGAGGGAATAAAAAATGCGATGATAATTTAGGACTCCTTTCCTTCCTTCCTTTCTTCCCGTCTTCCATTTCCTCCCAAAATTTGAAATATCTTCCTAATGCTACCCATTCTATATAAAGTATATTATTGAAGCTAATATCAAGATAAATTAAGGTGAAAATATATAAACCATACGTTTTAATATAGCCATGCATTCAAGCCATATAATTAAGTGAAAAGTGCATTTTGGAATTATTTTATTGTTACATTTTACTTTGCTTTTGTGTACCTGACATTCACATATAACTCTTCTTATAAAAGGTAACTTGTTTTAAAGCTGGGCTTCCCTGGTGGCGCAGTGGTTGAGAGTCTGCCTGCCGGTGCAGGGGACACGGGTTCGTGCCCCGGTCCGGGAAGATCCACATGCCGCGGAGCGCCTAGGTCCGTGAGCCATGGCCGCTGAGCCTGCGCGTCCGGAGCAAAAAAAAGGTAACTTGTTTTAAAACTAAAACAAACAAAAACTGGACACTCTTCCTGTACAAATTCTTAGCAATAATTTTTAAAGAAAACTGGACACTCTTCCTATACAAATTCTTAGCAATAATTTTTAAAGTATTGTCATTAGAAACTATAGATCTTATACCTGGATTCTCTTCATTTAAAGTGTCAGTAAAAGTACTAGTAAGTTGTAAGAATGCCTTAACCCTATACCAAATAGTAGACATTTTGTAGTGCTGAAAACGTTAGCATTAAACATATTTAGTGCTTAAAAGCAGGCATTATGTGAAACTAGAAAAAAAAAAACAGGATTTAAAAACCTTATGTGACCTTCTGCTCTAATTGAGCCAAAATACATAAATTAGCGCACCATTGAACTTGTAGGAGGAAATGGCCTATTAGGTCACTTAGTATTTCCCTTACTAAATTTAAACAGTCCCCTACAGCATATTTTTTAACACTGTAAGTCTAGTTTTGAAAGTTTCACATGATAATACTTTTCGCCACATCCTTAAAAAGCTACTAATCTAGTTGAGCTTCATAGGAAGTCACTAATAATGTTGAACTAGAAGCTTTCCTTTCTTAACGTGATTCCACCAGCTTCCTTGCCAGGTATCCAGGTATCCATCTCCAGAACTCTTCTACTTCCCTTCTTTTTTTTTTTCTCTCAGAGTATTTGAGTCGTATGGAATCCACCTGAAGGAAAACTGCAAAAATGGCAGAACGTTGTCAATAATGAACTTCCTCTTCCTGCTTCTTCCCCAAGTTTGGACAATGACGATGAAATGTTGCCCCTTGTACTTGACATTATCTTGCCCTTGTCAACTACAAATTGGCACTTGCCATTGGCACTTGCCATCTACCTCTACAGGGATTAAATCATGGGCTGCTGTATCTCTAATTTTCACCACCCCCTGAAAGGAGTTCAGGGTGGAGAGCAGAAATGAGGCACTCTGTGCTCTGAGAAAACTGGCAGAACAGGTCTTCAGAGAGTTAGGTATTTTCAGGAGCTGATTTTATGGGCCCAATTCTTGTATCTCCTCATATCTAGAAAAGCACTAAAACTCTTCATGGTGATGAATGCTCCTCGTGACTAGCAGAAACCTTCTGCAAAACAATATGTGCTTGATTGCATGTACTCTCCCTTCACCAAAATCACATATATACTGACCTTCCCCTCTACCTCTTTGGAACAGTTTCTCAGAGCTATGTGAAATGCTGCAGTCCTCATTTTGCCCCAAATAAAACTTAACTCACAACTCTCATGTTGCACAGTTTTTAAGTCGACACCCTTTCCTTTCTTCTAAATGTAGTGTCCCCTGAAAAAAGGCTATGGGAGTTTAAAATTGTATTTACCATCCCTGAGAGATGGAATTTTTGTTGTTGTTGTTAGCCATATGCTTTCAGAAGCCTATGGGGAAAGCAGGGACTTTATTACTGCAGCTTGTTTAGAATAGATACAAAATGCCAAACTGATAATTATCCGAAGTGAATTTAGTCTCTTAATGCCTTTAGAGAGCAGAGACATACTTTGGGGCTTATACCTTGTGAGTGATAAGTCATTAACTTTTATTCTAATTGACAGCTGAGGTAGTCATTCTGAAAGACAATGGAAAGACGATTTTGGAAATTTGGGTCAACAATTGCATAAGTGATATTTAAAACACACTGATATATACGCATACATGTGTATATATGTGTGTATATATGTAAAATATACATGCATACATATATGGGCCATTGTGTGCTAGGGCTGGCTTATACCTGCCCAGGGGTTCAGATTGTTGAATTTTCAGGAATTTTGTGAAGCAGGTAAACACACCCATGATTAAATATTAAATTATATAAGCTAATAAATAAATTATATTAAAACAAAGGTAAGCAATTCTAAATATTCATAGTTCCCTAATTTTTTTTACTACATTTTGGTATTATCAGTGCTCTAGAGATTATTTATATTTACTGCCTCCATATGGTGGAAACCCTATAAACTAGTGAAAACCTGAGCATTTCTTCCCAACACTGTGTTCAGTGAATTCATGGTGCTCACTTGAAATCAGCAAATGCTACAAAGCAGGGCCCTTCAGCCCACCAAAAGCTGGTTGTTATGCATTTACTATCACACTACTGTTAACAAAATTATAAAATAACTGTATTTTTAAAAACGCTAAACATATAAAGAACAGGGAAGACATTGAATATCTAGCCACAGTTTTATCAGTTGTATAATGTCATTTTTGTATGTTCATTTTGATACCACTATACATTTAGCTGAATTCCATTATTGATTTATTTTAATAATATTCTTCATACTATAATAATTGTGATAGGACATAAAATTTAAAAAATAAAATGAGAAAAATTAAAAATATAATCAGGCTTCCCTGGTGGCGCAGTGGTTGAGAGTCTGCCTGCCGATGCAGGGGACACGGGTTCGTGCTCCGGTCCAGGAAGATCCCACGTACCGCGGAGCGGCTGGGCCCGTGAGCCATGGCCACTGGGCCTGCGTGTCTGGAGCCTGTGCTCCGCAACGGGAGAGGCCACAACAGTGAGAGGCCTGCGTACCGCAAAAAAAAAAAATATATATATATATATATATAATCAAAGTAAGGTTAATTACTAGAAGCAAAGTTATGGATGTCACTTTGTAACTTGAATAGGTTAATTCTTTAAGTACTGATCTGGTTCCAAATTTTCTAGAAGCAAAATAAAAATGGAACTCAATTAATTATATTGTGCTTTTTATCTGAAGAGGCATTTATTTTTATTGCCACTGAATACAGAGGTAACACATTATATGGGTCATTCTGAAATGGGTATTAAATAATATTTTTTTAATGTTGTAAGTCTCTAGGGGCATTAAGTTAAAACCTATATGCTCCAAATATGTTTTTTGAATCAACAAATTCATGAGCAGTTAAATCAATTTTTTTCTGATTACCCTTTATGTAAACCCAAGGTGTAACTTTTTAACAAATTGAAGGAAATTCTCTCACAGGGTTAGAGCTTAGAAAACAGAGAGAAGTGTTGATTTTTCGACAATATTTATAATCTTCTGTGTGCTACAGACTTAAATATTTTATGAAACAGATTTATTCCTGGCTTGAGAAACCTAAAACATAAAGCGAGAGATTTTTCACTATTCTCATTTTTACTATTCTCTTAAATGATAAAATTAAGTCCTAATCTCAATGACTTGCTCAAAGACACATAGCAAATAGGTGGTGATGTCTGAATTGCACCCATCCAGTCTGGCATTAAATGTCTGTTACATGTTATCAGGAGCTCAGTCTCAATCCAGAAGCCACATTATGTTTGCCAACTGGAAAGATATCCATGGGCTTAAGACACCAAGTACAAAAGAAGCCAAATTGACACTTTTTGACAGAAAACTTTGTGTACTAACTTATTTTTTCACAGATGGGTAAGCCAAACTTCCTATGCAAGGAGGTGGCCTACAGCTGTATTTTAGAAAAAGAAAAAGAGACATTTCTCCATACAACGAGGCAAACTGTCCCAGAGGCCATGCAATAGAAAGCTCACAGACCAAGGTAAGATTCTTAAATTACACACACACACACACACACACACACACACACACCCGTCAAGAGCATAGATATTGTAAAATGTAGAAAAATATTGGGTCAATATTTGCAGATTCACAGGTTTGTTGTTATGATGCCACAAAATTTTCTATTTGTGTCTCCAGAATAAACTCATCTGTATGCCGTTATACACTCTCCATTTACTTTATGAAGGCAACGTAATTTTAATACCAAAACTGTATCTGGGGAATGTACAAAAATAAAACTACAAACCAACCTCACTATGAAAAAAGGCAGTTTTTAAAATAAAATACTGCCAAATAGCAATGTCATGAAATAATATTTTAAATAATGTTATTCTAGTAGTTCAAGGGTAGTTCATTATTAGAAATCTATCAGCATAATTTATTAAGTCAAAAAAAAGAGAAATATCCATAAACCACAACAAAAGATGTTGCAAAGGCCTTCAATAAATTCACTGAGAACTGTAACATTCTAGAGCATATGCAGAAGAAAACCACTTAAGTATGATAAAAATTTAGTGTGGCCCAAATCATATATGTGTTTAATTTATTCCCAAAGTTGATTTCATGTTCAGAAAAATAATATAAAAGAAGTCTGAAATACTTTCATGTTCAAGTGTCAAGAAAAATATCACAGGAAATTAAGATATAAGCACTTCACAAGATCCAGATTTGAAAATGAAATGTGAAATCTGGAAATATTACTGTAAATGTCTCTTTTTGGTGTGCATGGAGAAAATATTATTCTGGGAAACCATGAAAGCCAACTGACTTAAATTACAGAATATTTTATATCTGAAGTAGCAGTTCTGTGAACTTTTCCTTTGTATCTCAATTTTTGCTCAAGATAAATCTCAGCATAAGATTACTTTTGATACCTAAATATAAGATATGACACCATAAAACTCCTAGAAGAGAACACAGGCAAAACACTCTCTGACATAAATTGTAGCAATATTTTTTAGATCAGTCTCCCAAGGCAAAAGAAATAAAAGCAAAAATAAACAAATGGGACTTAATCAAACTTAAAAGCTTTTGCACAGCAAAGGAAACTGTCAACAAAACAAAAAGACAACCTACGGAATGGGAGAGGATATTTGCAAACGAGGCAACCAACAAGGGATTATTATCCAAAATATACAAACAACTCATACAACTCAATATCAAAAAAACAAACACCCCAATCAAAAATGGAAAGAAGACCTAAATAGACATTTCTCCAAAGAAGACATACAGATGGCCAACAGGAACATGAAAAGATGCTTAACATCGCTGTTTATTAGAGAAGTGCAAATCAAAACCACAATGAGGTATCACTTCACTCTGGTCAGGATGGCTATAATCAAAATGTCTACAAATAATAAATGCTGGAGAGGGTGTGGAGAAAAGGAAACCCTCCTACACTGTTGGTGGGAATGTAAATTGGTGCAGCCACTATGGAAAACAGTATGGAGGTTCCTTAAAAAAATAAAAATAGAGCTACCATATAATCCAGCAATCCAGGGTATATATCCAGAAAAAAATGAAGACTCTAATTCAAAAAGATACAAGCACCCTAATATCATAGCAACATTACTTACAATAGCCAAGACATGGAAACAACCCAAGTGCCCATCAACAGATGCTCGGCTTAAGAAGATTAGATATATATATATATATATACACACACACACACACACACACACACACACACACACACACAATGGAGTATTACTCCCATAAAAAAGAATGAAGGGTTTCCATTTGCAGCAACATGGATGGACCTAGGGAATATTAATGCTCAATAAAATAAGTTAGAAAAGACAAAAATCATATGATATCAATTATACGTGGCTAAAAAATAATACAAATGAATCTATATACAAAACAGAAACAGACTCACAGACATAGAAAACAAACTTATGGTTACCAAAGGGGAAAGGGAAGGCAGGGAGGGACAAATTAGTAGTATGGGGTTAAGAGATACACACTACTATACATAAAATAGATAAGCAACAAGGATTTACTGTATGGCACAGGGAATTATACCCCATATCTTGTAATAACTTACAATGGAATATAATCTGCAAAAGAAAATCACTACGCTGTACACCTAAAACTAACACAATACTGTCAATCAACTATATTTCAATTAAAAAAATATTACTTTCGATTTTAATCAGGAATTCCAGCTGCCCAACAGCTGCTGCATCCATATGTGCTATTTCTGTGTTTATGCTAAAGTCACCTGCATCAGAGCTCAGCACCTTTCAAGTTGCGCTAAGAATCCAGTCTCACGCTATCAGTTCTAAGCAGTGTACAATTTACTGAAGATTTCACATGGGAGATGGGGGATGACCTTAATATTGTATATTCCTCAGCAAAGTATGTGATCAACCCCTGTCATTTCTCAGAAGTGTTCTTTTGGTGGTGTGGCACCAGCATAAAAGTCCTTTGATTTGCGTTTCCCTGATGATTAGGGATGCTGAGCACCTTCTTAATGTGCCTGTTGGCCACCTGCACATCCTCTTTGGATACCTTGATACTGGTAAATTTATGCTTTCTTCCTTTATCTTCATCAAATTAATTAATTTTTTGTACACTTGATATTCTGAATGATACTTTTTAAAGAATTAGTATTTTATTATCTTCTTATAAAGAGAAGCAAACATGTTACCTTGAACTTGTAGAGGATAGATCTTTTGTTTTTTTCTTAGTTTTAGGATGAATCCCTTAGTCCTGACACGTTTTGTTCCTACAATGTAATCACGATGGAACTTAAATAGAAAGTCACGGTTTAAGGTCCTCTAACAATGCAGGACTCAACCCCAAACTCCAGTCTTTATTCTGCCTTTTCAGCCTTTTTAAAAAAAAATGTATTTTATATTGGAGCATAGTTGATTAACAATGTTGTGTAAGTTTCAGGTGTACAGCAAAGTGATTCAGTTATACGTATACATGTATCTATTCTTTTTCAGATTCTTTTCCCATTTAGGTTATTACAGAGTATTGCTTTTCACTGGGTTCCTTGAAGTTCCCTCCATCCCCACAAACACACTTACAGTTCAGCCAAGGCTTTCATGGAAATTAAGATGCAGACATCGAGGTCTCCTATTCTGTGGCTGTTTCCTGTTTTGCATATTCCACCTCTATTTCTGGTTTTACTGGAAGCTCTAAAATCCATTCTCGGACAGCTTAAGCCAGAAAACCGTGGCTCTCTTTTTGAGTTCTAGCCAAACTACGCTACATGGGCAATGGACTGTGCTCAGGAGTAAAGCTCTACAAATGTGAATTCACTCAGTACAGTTCTTTTCTTTCAGAAGTATAAATCTCTCAACTCTCTGCCTGCTATTGATAGTATTTTATCCTGACACTAATATAAAATATTCAAGTAAATAAATATAGCATAAATATATTAAATTCAAATAAAATAAATACATTTTATCCATCAGCCTCATTCATTTGAAAAATGAACCCTAGTTACAAAACATATAACTTGTAACTAATTATAGAAAAAAAAGGGAAATTATAGTGCAAGATACTGAAAGGTTTTGTATCCCCTTTATCAGGGATTTTTGGGTGGAGATTTTTAAAAATATATCTTTTGCTTTTATAAAAATTTATTATATAAATGTGACAACAGAATTCTAGCGAATTCAAAAGATATAACATAAAGCATTAGGAAGAATCAAACAGTTGTACAAATGAGTTTTGAATTTGTTTCCCTTTGAGTCAGACTGTTTATATATATATATATATATATATATTTTTTTTTTTTTTTTTTTTCCGGTACGCGGGCCTCTCACTGCTGTGGCCTCTCCCGTTGCGGAGCCCAGGCTCCGGACGCACAGGCTCAGCGGCCATGGCTCACGGGCCCAGCCGTTCCGCGGCATGTGGGATCTTCCTGGACCGGGGCATGAACTCGTGTCCCCTGCATCGGCAGGCGGACTCTCAACCACTGCGCCACCAGGGAAGCCCAGACTGTTAAATATTTAACCATGCCCAACAAAATTATTTTTGTTGAAAAATTTTCAAACTCCTGAGGAAGCTTCAGCCAAAAATGCAGAACCTATTTGTCACATAACATTATCTTTAGTCTCACACTTATTTCTCCTATTTTGTAAATGCAGTTATTCTTTATGTCCTTCCACATAAGGCTATGATCTCATGTCTTTGATGATATTTATGTTGTGCCTTTTCATTGTGTTACCAAGTCCAAGCTCATACTGCTCGCCCTGCGACAGGCAAATAAATCGAGAGATGAGTTGCTGGGACAAGGAATATTGACTTTATTCAGAAAGTCAGCAGATGGAGAACATGGTGGCCTTGTGTCCCAAAGAACCATCTTGCCTGATTCAGAATTCAGGCTTCTTTTATACTAAAACGAGAGGAAATAAAGTCAAGCATTTCCTGGTTCTAGTCAGCCTCTGGAGGGGATGTGTTAATTTCTTCCTCCCTGCAGTCATTCACAGGTGGGTCTGGTCAACATGTTTCCTGTGCTCTAAGCAAAGGTATTTTAGCTTAACACTTATTACCTGGGAGGCAGGGTTCCCAGAGATGGACCACTATGTATAATTTAAGCTTATAGGCAACATCCCTTTAGTGATTAGCTTGTAATAGAATACAAAGTTTCTTCCCTATTACAACTTCAAGCAACAGAAGAATCGTCATCAGAAACATGCACTGAAGGTAAACTCAACAAAACCATGTTCAGTTTTTCTACATGGTTGTATTTCTATAAGACTATTACCCAAATCTTTAATTCTAGTCGAAGTTAGACCAGAACCACAGAGCACCCTTCTAGCCCTACAGTCACACACTCTGTCCTCTCTCCTCTCTTTACATACTTGCACTAGAAATATTATTTCCCACTGACCCTGCTCATATTCTTCAACCCATTACTGATTTAAACACACTTACAGCAGAAATATTTATATGAACAAATGAGTATTAGTACCGAGTCACTTATGAGACACAAAATGTGGAGAGAAGTGACATAGAACCTGGGAATAATGAGTGACCACTTGGACCATAGCTAGGTCTTAAAGAACAAATACTGGTAGGAAGAAGAGCCTGGAATAAAGAAAATAATTAGATGGGGATATTCAGTTGAGCAAAGCAGAGAGGTATAAAAAGAATGTTATGTTTAGGGAAAATAAAATGAGTATATCATCCTGGCTGATTCTACAATCAGAGGGTCCATTGAGAGAAAGGGAGATACTTCATGATAGAAAATATGCAATGGGGCTGGATTTATATTTTACAAATTTTATCCCCCAAAAAATCAGTTAATAAAGGCAAAGAGAAAATTCCTTTATCATATTGATTATTTTAACAGTTTCTATTTCTGAAAACTGCAATATTTAGCAGTGATCCTGTTGGAAAATAAATTCAAATTGTATCTTCTGTGAGCAAACATCTTTTGATGACTAAGCTGAACTCTGACTTTGTGTGGGCTTCTTGTTGATTGCCATTTTTAACTGAGAGTCAGTTCAGAAACACGAGTTTTATTTTCACAGCACAGATTACACAGGATGCTTCACAAAATCAATCCAGTTGAACAGACTCTCTTAAAATGAATCATAGGAGTCAGCAAATGATGGGCAGACAGGCCTTTCCCAACAGTCAATATTTTTTCTGTATTTTGACAGAATGTATGGTGAATGGATGAAAGGATGGATGTCTCAGAGGAAATTTAAAGATAGCTCTTAAGACATAAGATGAATCCATTTATGGGGCCACAGAGTCAACAAAGTTGTAATTTGTTGTAACCTGAACTAAGACATACAATATCAAGGATGTATAGAAACGTTTAAATAATTTCAAAAAATAATTTCCTCTTATGTCAATTTACTGTAACTTGAATATTCTCATTAGAATATTCAGTGTTAACATAATAGGTTTACTAGATTTAACGTTCATACCAAAAGAGCAGATAAAGTGTTCATATTTAAAAAATTCAAGGGCTTCCCTGGTGGCTCAGTGGTTGAGAGTCCGCCTTCCGATGCAGGGGACACAAGTTCGTGCCCCGGTCCAGGAAGATCCCACATTCCGCGGAGCGGCTGAGCCTGTGAGCCATGGCCGCTGAGCCTGCGCGTCTGGAGCCTGTGCTCCGCAACGGGAGAGGCCACAACAGTGAGAGGCCCGCGTACGGCAAAAAAAATAATAAAAATAAATAAAAATTTAAAAATTCAGTAATTCAACCCCTTTAAACAAATATTTATTAAGCACCTGTGTCGTATAAACCACTGTTTTTTGTTGTTATTGTTCTATAGACAAACAAAGATGGAAAACATACTGTTTGTGTTCTCAAGAAATTTACAATCTAATGATGGGGGTCGAATGCCCAGAATGCTGGAAGAGAGGCAGAAAGTGGTAAGTGCCCTAAGAGGGCAAACAAAACATTATGGAATCACAAACAGTAGTAAAAGTAGCAGTAGGGGAGGAATTGTGAAGAAAGAGCGGGGAAGAATTTTTTTGCTCTGGGCCAGGCTCTGTGCTAAACATTATATGCACATTACTCCATTTAACCTTAATAATTTTATGCCTTAAATACTACTGCTACATCAATTTTTTTTTTTTTAATGAAGAACCTGAGGCCTAGTGAGATTAAGTAACAAACTCCTACAACTGGAAAGCTCACATACTCAGATTTTTCTGACTTTAAATGTCCTCTTAAACCTGCACTATACTGCCTCCTAGGGGAAAGTTGCACAGAGATGGTATAATTATAACTCCCTTACATGAGGTGAAGATGGGGATAAGGGTATTCTGGAAAGTCACAAATATGAAAGAGAAGAGAACAAGGTTTGTCCAGGAAATGCTAACAGTATAACAAACTCATAGTGTCAGGTGTATAATATTGGGTAAGATGTATAATGTATACGCTTTATATACAGTGTTAAGTAAAGACTAGACTGGCAGAGCCTTGGTTCCCAGGAAAGTAGCTTGGACTTGACCAAGGGTATTGAGACCCCTTTCATATGGAAATAACAGTATTTGAATTACCTTTCTTTTTCTGTTTTTATATTTTCAGAATTGTAATTAGATATTACCAAATAAAGTAATAAACAACTCTTAACTTGGAGTACAAAATGAAAACACCTTATTATTTTAAAGGTGCAAAAGCAAGAAAATATGACATAAACTTATACATTTTTAGTCATCTGTATGATGGGTAAATGCCATTTAAAAATATTTTCAATAGAAAAATGAGTTATAAATCAGTTTTCAGAAGATCAAAAAAATCAATGTTTAATACCAACTTTAACTATAAATAAAAAGAATATTGTCATTTCTCCTGTTTTTGCTTCAACATTTATGTCTTCTGCTCTTTGCCTTTTGGAAAAAGTATTGCATTGCAAGGCTGCCGTCTTTTTGGACGAGGAGAAGGATCAAGATCTTTAATGTAACCTCTTCCCATACAAGTCTGAGTGGAAGGAAAACCAACTTCCCAGAAATTCTCTGGTGTGTTGGGTGGAATGTAGCGAAATCGGTGTCTTGAGCAGGAAGCCAACTTCTTTTCTCTTCTGCTGGAAAATCTGCATAATAAATTTCACATTCCTTACATGTGTGTCCAAGCAATTTTTTTCTTTCTTCTTTTTTCCAAACCACCTCAGTATGAGGAAAAGTTTGTAAGCTAGTCTCTCTTTCATCATCTTTAAAATATGGCTTCACAAACGCTTTCTGTTTGACTTTATCTTGTTTATCACCAGGAGAGTTTGGTTTTTTTGTAGCAGTTGACAACTCCTTCTCTTCATCTGCTACTTAGGGGAAGCTATCCACCAAACAGGATTCATATTCTTCATGTGTAGTCCGATCAAACATATCTTCCAAGCTATCTTTCATTTTTCTTTCTCCATTTGGAATTTTTTCTCCCTTCTGCTCTTGGTTCTTCATTTTTAAAAGCATAGTTTCACTAACCAACCTACAGTCCATGTCCACTGTCTTTCCTCCTGCTAATCTTGACTGACTGCCACCCTTTGTATCTACTACAGTAATATCCATTTTATACTGAGAAAGATTTGCTCCTGGATCTATACTCCACTGGATGTTTTCAAAGGATACATCTTGGTTGTTCTGTAGAGACTTTGTTTTAACAATTCTACATGGATTTAACTGAAGAACTGATGCAAGTTCACATGCTCCATGGACTGACCTGGTTTTTATTTTTATAGGCTCACGAAAACCAGCACCATTCATGTCATCAAAAAGATTCTGTCTCCAAACTTTCACGTGGACATAGAGGAATTTCAAAGATAGAATTTTCTTCCTTTATTTGTAACAGTGCTTTATTATCTGGAGATTTACTCAAGGACGGGAGGAGGGACTCCTGTAAACTGCTGGTCTCTTCTGAGGAATCTTTGGTTAATCCACAGCTCCCACTCAAGGCCTTACGGCTTGAGGAAGAGCCCTTTGCAACACGCTTCAAAACCTCATAAAGGGTCACTTGCCTAAATCCAGTTTTAGAGTTGTCACTTCCTTGGCTTTTCTCTTGTCACTGAATAGCTGAAAATCGATCAGACAGATCCAGAGGTTTATACATCACATGGTCTCCATTCATGTAAGAATGACTATCCAGTGGAAAAGGAAAAGCATTTTCTTTATCAAAGGAGGCTTGGGGGCAGCTTACTTCATCTTCACTTTCTTCCTTGATTTTCTTCCATTTGGTTCGGCCTCCCAGTGATTTCAGGGGTACCACATGTTTACCTTTATCAGTAACAGTATCTTTTTTTTTTTTTTTTTGCGGCACTCGGGCCTCTCACCGTTGTGGTCTCTCCTGTTGTGGAGCACAGGCTCCGGACGCGCAGGCTCAGCGGCCATGGCTCACGGGCTCAGCCACTCCGCGGCATGTGGGATCTTCCCGGACCGGGGCACGAACCCTCGTCCCCTGCATCGGCAGGCGGACTCTCAACCACTGCGCCACCAGGGAAGCCCAGTAACAGTATCTTTAATGTGACCAATACTATCCTGTTCACTTAGGGGTTCACTTGTATTTTTATTTATAAGCATCTGCTTATTAGAAGATGACTCGTTAGTGATCTTGGTCACTTCAGCCCCAAGATTATGATGTGTGAAACGGGCACCATCTTCAGATTTTCATATAGGTTTCTCCGATCTAGAATTAGAAGTGTTGCTGAAAGACATTGTTTTCAGATGGTTTTTCTTACCAGTCTCTAAAAGAGAAGGGGACAAACTTGTATTCAAACCTAAACTACTTTTCACATTAGAGGTAGCTCCAAATACAGGAGATGATACCCAAGTAGTCAATTCTTCTTGAGGAGGAGCCTTTGAATTAGAATCTGAAAATCTTAAACTATCTTCACAATTTCTTCTAGATTCCTCAAAAGGTTTTCTGTGATCTCCTTCCACACAGTGGTAGAGCTCATCACCAAGTGGGCTCCTAGGGCCTCGAGATTCAGATTCATCTTGAACACTAAGTCCAAGTGTTTCAGCAACAACTGTAGCTAAATTATCAGGAGGATAACTGCTTTTTCCATGTGTATTAGCCACTGGAGCTTGACTCTGATCGCAAGTGTCAGCCACTAGAGTTTTACGTTCATTATGTTTATGTTGTGGATGAGGTGAAGACTTTGGTACTTTTCTCCATTCACGTGCACACCCAGAGTGCTTCAGTTTAGTATGTGTTGGTTCTACGTGTCGGACGTGGAGGTTCTCCTTCCTTCACAGCCGGTTAGTGCCAGAAAATGAAACGGTTGTTGCTGGTCAATCTGGAATAACATCTTCCTCAGATTCAAGATCGGTCGCTTGTTGTGGTTGATCATTCTCAATTTTCTGCTGCAGCTGTTCAGAAAGCTTTTTATTTTCTTCCTGCATTCTTTTCATTCATAAGCTCTGTGATAAGCTTAAGATTCTGCTGCTGAATATTTTCAAACTCTTGCTGTTTCTTCCGCATATGTTCTTCAGTTACCACACAGTGATCATGTAAACCTGCTCTTAATCGGTCTTCTAAAATTTTAATGGTTTCATGAAGGACTTTCCGTGGCTCTCTCAGCTGTTGATTTTTGGTGAAGAATTCTTCTAGTCTTAGTGCATCTCAAATCCATTCCTTTTTCAGTTTGGTTACTTTTACTTGTAGACCTTGTACTTCTTTATCGTGATACTCCTTTAGTGTTGTCCAAAGATCCTTAAAGTCATTAGATACATCTGCAGAACTAGGGCTTCCACAACTGCTTCCTGAGACGTTCATCTTACTTAATTTAATATGCTCACACTTCTACTGCCTAATGTTTTCTGACCTTTGCTGTTACATTATACAGGTCTGAAGTTGTCTTTGGCCAGTTCAAATACGGCTTGCAAGATGGCCTCGAGATTCTCGAAAGCCCCATCAGGAAAGCGAGCACGCTATGGGGCAGGGAGGAGACGGCCGTTCGCTTTTCTCCTCATTCCCTCACCAATCTGCCAAACCGCCTGCAGCCGAGCCGCCCCCTCAGGGCAGCCTGCGGTTACCAGAGCTGAGGGAGGGCCCAAGGGCCCTGAATTACCTTTCTGATGATTTTAAGTAAATTAGTATCTCCTGTTTTTCTAGATCTCACATCCACATTTCCTTATGGTAATTACAGCATGTCAGAATGTCTTAAAACAACCAGTCTTTTCAAATTTCCCAACAATGGACTTGATAAACAGAAAAAAATGAACCTAACAAAGAAATCACCATACTATTCAATTGAGTCCTCAGCCAGTGATTCATATGTGTAATCTGTCAAACATAGCTCATTCTATGTGAAAAAATCTTTCCTATAAGAAAATTTTTCTAAAAAATCCTTCCACAGTAGCACAGTTCATCTTTTGTTTGTGCGAATGTATAAATGATCTGCTTTCCAGATGTGGGTGGTTGAACACATCAATCGTTAAGTAATTTGTTAGTTTCTCCGTAGAAGTTCTATCAGCACCTGGTACTCTAACAGATGCTAGTATAGCAATAATGTAATGAGGTTGGTGATGCTCCAAGTTTGGTGTTTGCTTTTCTTTGAGGAATCATAATGGAGAAAAGGAATGTCACAGTTTTCTGGCTGATTAAGCACCAAACAGTCCTGCCCTTTGCCTGGGTTGTAGCATTTTCCAGCATCTTAACATGGCTTGATGACACGTACTTGATAGGATTGTCTCTTTCCTATCAGTCTGCCTTTGAGAATCACTGAATCTGAATTATATGTGTGACTTCTGAACTCATCTCGGTCCAACTCCATCACGTTAGAGATGAGCAATCTGATGTCCGGAAAGATGAAATGACTGACAGTAATCTTTCAGCTGATCAGTGCTCACGTAGGATGTGAACCTGGGCTCTCAGCCGCGCTGTTACACTTCTCTTTCCGTCCTTTTGCCCTTCTTGAAGCTCAAGTCATGGTATCATG